AAAGATAAAGTGGATGAACTAGACCACTCAAGCAAAGATTATGAAAAATTTAAGAAAGCACAACAATGGAATATGCAGGAATTGTGTGACATCATAAAAAGACCCAACTTATGAATCATAGGCATATAAGAAGGAGAAGAATCTCACAATAATGGTATGGACCAGATCTTCAACAGAATCTTAGAAGAAAATTTCCCAAAATTAAAGAAAGACATGCCATACAAATACAAGAAGCATACAGAACACCAAACAGACAGGACCAGAAAAGAAACTCTCCAGTGCACATCACAGTAAAAACACTACATGTACAGAACAAAGAGACAATACTGAAAGCTGCAAAAGAGAAACAAATCACATACAAAGGAAAACCCATTAGGATTACAGCTCACTTTTCAGTGCAAACTAGAAAAGCCTGAAACTCGAAAGCCAGAAGAGCATATACCAAAGTATTCCCAGTTTTAAATGACCACAGATACCAACCCTGATTACTATACCCAGCGAAAATATCTACTATAGTTGTAGGGGAACGAAAAACCCTCGATGACATAAAGAGGCTGAAGGAATTCATGTCCACAAAACCAGCATTTCAGGGAGTTCTTGAAGGAATACAAAGAGCTGAAGAAGGGAATGACTATACCCAAGGGGTTGCAGAAAGAAATTCAATTGAAGTATAACTGTGGAAAAGTACAGCTATATCAAGTATATGAACAGAAATAAAAACGACAGGATTCAATGCACATCTTTCATTAATAACTTGAAATATCAATGGACCGAACTCCCCAGTCAAAAGACACAGACTAGGTGAATGGACTAAGAAGCAAAAACCATCCTTTTGTTGTCTGCAAGAAATGCATCTCACTTTCAAGGACAGGCACTACTTTAAGATGAAAGGATGGAAAAAAATATACCAAGCAAATGGTACTAAGAAAAAAGCAGGCATTGCAATTTTAATATCTAACAAAATAGAGTTTAAACTAAAATTAATGCGAAGAGATAAAGAGGGCCCCGTCATTCTGATCAAAGGAACAATAAACCAAGAAGATATTACAATCTTGAACATATATTCACCAAACTCTAGTGCACCCAACTTCATAAAAACAATACTACAGGACTTTAAGACCCAGATTAATCCCAACTCTTTAATAGTAGGGGACTTCAATACTGCACTGTCTCCATTAGATAGGTCAACAGGGTAGAGAGTTAACAGAGAGACATGTGGATTAATCAAATGGACCTAACAGACATCTACCAAGTATTCTACCTGAGCACCAAAGGATATACTTTCTATTCAGCGCCCCATGGAACAATCTCCAAAATCAACCATATACTGGGGCACAAAACAAACCTCAAAAAATACAAAAAGATTGAAATAATTCCATGCAATCAGACCACAATGCAATAAAGCTTAAAATCAACCCTAATCACCACATGAACATATGGAGATTAAACACACTCCTGAATGATGAATGGGTCAAAAGAGAAATTAAGAAAGAAATAAAAGTATTCCTGGAACTAAATGGAAAGGACAATACAACACAACAAAACCTCTGGGACATGCTGAAAGCTGTCCTTAGAGGGAAGTTCATAGCTCTATGTGCCTACATTAATGACTTAACATTGCAACTCAAGACACTTGAAAAGCAACAACAAATGTCCTGAATGATGAATGGGTCAAAAGAGAAATTAAGAAAGAAATAAAAGTATTCCTGGAACTAAATGGAAAGGACAATACAACACAACAAAACCTCTGGGACATGCTGAAAGCTGTCCTTAGAGGGAAGTTCATAGCTCTATGTGCCTACATTAATGACTTAACATTGCAACTCAAGACACTTGAAAAGCAACAACAAATGACAAATGAACCCAGCAGACAAGAAGAAATAACAAAAATCAAGGCAGAAATTAATGAA